GAGTAGTTGGGACTAGTAGAGACAGGGTCTTGCTCTTGCTCAGGGTGTTATGAACTCCTGAGCTCAAGTGATCCTCCCGCCTCAGCCTCCCAGAGTGCTAGGATTATAGGTGTGAGCCACCACGCCCAGCTGGTAACAATAATTTAAAAGACAGAAAAGGATCTTGTTTCAGGAACTTCAAAATTGACTATTTATACAGTAAATGAAGAAGGAAACTAACAATAATTCAGTGAACAGCCAATATACAATACAATCAGTTAACAAATGGGGTCAAAAGAACGTGTATCATGCATCATCTTCCATGTGATGTCTCAGCTTTTTATTTTTCCAAACATAAAGGCAGATTAATTCAAACTAGTTCTGTATCTATTAGCTTATGCTATCTTCTGAAATTAATTTGAATGGATTATTAATAACTCATACAACACTAGTTTTCTAATGAAGTTTAAGAATCTACCAGATGATGCTCAGGTTTAGACAAATGTTAGAACTGCATACAGCAATGTTCAGTCAATTACGAACTTAAAGACACTACTGGGTCTTTTATCTCAAAGTGTGAACTACAGGTAAAATCTAAAAGGATATACATACTAAAAAAATATTTTCAAATTTAAAAGCTGTAGTAAATATAAATGAATTAACTCAACAGTATATACTTACATACAAATTAAACAAAAGCAGAATAAACACAACTCTTAGGAGAACCAACTTCAATCCTGATTTTATCACTTAACAAGAGCAAGAACTTAGGTGAGTCATTACATTTGAGGATGACTGGCAAATTTACAATATTACCTTAGATTCCACCTAAGAAAACTCTTCAAGGATATCTTCATATCAGCTAGAAGTTGGGGAAAATACAATTTAAAAAATAAAGTGTATTTTCTCCCCCTCATATATATTAAAACCCGAGGCCCCTAGCAGTCAGCCCAGACCATCATTCCTAATGATTTAGATTAGAAGATCCTTGCCCTAAAAGATGACCCTTTATCTCTTATCCTACAACACTCCACCGAGGCTACAGGATAAAAAACACAACCTTGTCTTCTATGTAGCACCAAGAGACTAATACCTAGGTACGCCCAGGATTGACTTTAAAGTCGCTTAAAGAGTATTTCAATTCATTAAAGAAAATAAAGCTTAGAAATCGCATGCTTAGTCTACACAAGTTTAACTTATTTAATAGTAACTTGGTAAATTTCAAATTGGCTCTTATTAGTAGTAAACAGAATACTTTGTATTTGGGGTAAAAACCAAATAAATCAGGCTAGACCTGACAATACGAACAATGTTACTCTTTGAGAAAGTGCGAGTTTTATACACAAACAAGTAAACTTTAAAACATGCTCTGAAGCAGGGAGGCTGCATCTGTCAACTGCCTTGTGGCATAAGTGAATGTTTAATCCTGCTGGGCCACACTCACTAAGGTCTCCACAATTTAAGGACAAGGTTGCCGCTCTTACTGTTATGGTGAAGTTGTAGCCTGCGAAAACGGACAACTTTTACCTTATAACACTCTTTCCTTCTAAGTGCTACTACTAGCATTATTAATAAACAGGACTGATTTTGAGGTAGCTACACAGCTTTAAAGATGGTGTTAACGAATATTTTGGATAATTCAGAGTGTAGCTGGTTAATACACTTCAGCTGATTTTTTTTTGATGAGAAGGAAAAATCAGCAAAATTAAGGGCACATCTCCAGTTCATTTAGAAGTCAGCATCCAAGGTAAAAGAATTCTCTGTTGGACTTGACATCACTCCCATCCTCTGATATTCGCCTACTCTCTTCTCAAAGAAGTTAGTCTTTCCTTGCAGTGAAATATTCTCCATAAAGTCAAATGGATTTTCTACTCTGAATACCTGAAAAGGTTCACATCAAGATATAAATACAGAACAACAATTTCGAAAGAAACAGAAGGGTATAAACAATACTTTACCTTGTTGAAACCCAGTTCCAGCATAAGTCTGTCTGCCACAAACTCAATGTACTGCTCCATTAACGTGCAATTCATCCCAATGAGCTTCACAGGCAAGGCCTCGGTGAGGAACTCCTAGGGACCAAAATACAGCTTCTGAATACCACCGAAGCACAAAAGCATCTAGCAAGCACTAGAGTGACCCATACACATCACCCACTTACCTGCTCTATCCTAACAGCATTGATAATTATTTCTTTTACTCTGTGCTCCGACGGTTTATGTACCAGGTGTTTGAACATCAGGCAGGCAAAGTCACAGTGTAAACCCTAGAAGAAAAAGTTCAAGATCATGAAAGCCAGAAGACTTCAGCATGGAATATGAATGCTTGATCCTTTTCTGCATTCTCCTTATACTACTTTCTCAGGCTGAGAGCTGTCAGGCTGAAACTGTCAAAGGGAAGATGACTTCAACTGCTGATGCCACTGAGGCAGGCTCAGCCCCACCCAAGGCCCTGAATGCTACCACCTGGGTAAGGACAAGCCAGGTCTATTCCTCTGTGTGGTGGCAAAAGGAGCCACAACTTTTGCCCAAAGTATTCTTTCTATAGCTGTGAGCTCCAATTTGGCACTACCCCCAGCAGGAAAGGCAAACCTCAGTGACAAAGCTAATTAGTTTCCAGATGCTCAGGAAATATGATGCAATTTTAAGTGAGTCAAGTCTTAGTGTATGAAACTCCAATAAGATTCAAAGTTTATATCCCTACACAGGAAGATCTTCCTATAAGGTAAGATCAACTGTTTGATCAGCCCAGTGGGCTCCAAGTATGGTAGGGTTCATGCTCCCTGCCTTTCAAAAGTGACTTAAACCTAGGCACTTTCACCTTCCTTTCCTCAGTTTAATCCAAGAGTATTCATTTTTTATTTTTATTTTTTATTTTTTTTTTTGAGACAGAGTCTCACTCTCTTGCCTGGGGCGAGTGCCGTGGCGTCAGCCTAGCTCACAGCAACCTCAAACTCCTGGGCTCAAGCGATCCTACTGCCTCAGCCTCCCGAGTAGCTGGGATCACAGGCACGCGCCACCATGCCCGGCTAATTTTTTCTACATATATTTTTAGCTGTCCAATTAATTTCTTTCCATTTTTGGGTAGAGACAGGGTCTCGCTCTTGCTCAGGCTGGTCTCGAACTCCTGAGCTCAGAACGATCCACCCGCCTCGGCCTCCCAGAGTGCTAGGATTACAGGTGTGAGCCACCGCACCCGGCCTAATCTAAGAGCATTCAAAGACGTACACTAGACCAAAATGAACCCTCATTTCATTGAGATGCTTACCAATGAACTCTGAAGTAGAGTAGAATCATATAAAATACCAGGCAAGAATAATAAAACATTTCTTTAAAAAACCCCATCAAGTACTTATAGTTTTGTGCATTCCAGTCTGTAGGGCAATATGTACATACTAATGTATTATATTGAGAATGCAAGTAAAATAACTGCAGCAGAAGTATTTCCTTCTTTGCTGAGTATGTATATGGTCGAACTGACATATTAAATGTGGATATGATACCATCTGAAATCTTGGGTCCTCTTCAGTGAATCGAAGAACATGCCTAAGAGTTGCAGATGTTTGGGGAACAAGCTAGCGTGTTATTTCATTTAGACTCACCTCATCTCTGCTAATAAGTTCATTGGAAAATGTGAGGCCGGGCATCAGTCCTCGTTTCTTGAGCCAGAATATCGATGCAAAAGAACCAGAAAAGAAGATGCCTTCCACTGCAGCAAAGGCTACAACACGTTCTCCTATTTAAGGGTTAACAGCAAAATGTTTCTAGTGAGTAACTGCTAGTATTTGTAGGAAGGGCCAACAACCCAGTAACATTACTTAGAAAATGAAGCTCAGGTCTAAGTAAAGTCAAAGGTCTCCTTACCATAGGTAGCCTCTTTGTCCCCAATCCAACGCAAGGCCCAATCTGCCTTCTTCTTGACACAAGGCATCGTTTCAATGGCATTGAAGAGATATTCCCTAGTAGGCATATACAGCATCAGCAATTACAATATCACAGCCAAGACCTCTGATCACAAACTTCTAGATAAGAGTGCTGAGACGAAGGCCAGCACTTCGAGTATTTGCCAATTCTTTCCCCCAAAAGAACTCACACTGAAATGTTTTCTTCTTATTGGTTAGCTTCTCCCTCTAGTGTTCTTTTAGAAACCTCAACATTCATTTATGTTAATTAATACAAGTTTATGTATTCTGTAGTCCATATTGAGCTCCAAGGTCTATGAACACTAAAACTTACTCCATTATAACAGGGGCAATATTGCCTTAATTATTTCAAGTCCAGATCATAGTTCAGAGCCCCTATCTTCTTTAAATTTGAAGAACCATAAAATCTTAACTGCTATGCTATTACCCCATTAAATAAACAGCCCCAAAGACTATCATTGGGTGGATTATTTGAGACTCAACTGCCACATCTATATAATTAAACCAATAAACTAAACCATCTAAGATTGCTTCCTACTAGAATTCTAAGCTACACCATTGACCAGATCAGGAAAGCAAATTGGTGGGCCCAACACCTACCTGAGTCCTCCTTACTACCTTCCTCTGCCTCCCTTCATCCTGGTGCCCACCCTGGGAGTCTACCTATTTCCCAGCCTATTCCCACCCAGATGACCTTGTGTTCTGAAGCAAAGGTCACCAGACACTGGGCTCCTTCTGTTCTTCCCATCTTAATGCCCTCTTCTTTGAGAGATCTGTCCTGCCTGTCCCATGTTCTTGAGGCTTACCCGCCCCTGACTTCCTGATCCCACCCCTCCGTCACAACCCCAACCTCCCCTCTACCTTTTCTCATTTTGTCTACATGTTCAAATCTCTTTACCTGCAAAGTTTCCTCAGACCTTTCAATTTCCTGCTCATTTTCCCTCTTCACACGCTTCCACGTAGTCTGCAATAGCCAGTTTAGGCCTCAGCTTTGCCACTTTCACCCATACAAGGCTCCTTCCCCTAAAGCCGACCTTGCGAGCTCCTGAAGGCGCAAGTCCTCCTCTCTTGCCAGCGCCACCCAGCCCCACATTCTAGGTTCTCAACAGGTTTGTCACATGAGTAAAAAGACTGTCAGACCTAGGTTTTACTTTATGTCATACCCAACGAGGGATTTTTTTCTTTTTCAACACAAGATAGGGAGAAATAAGGATGTTTTTTCAAAAAGCACTAGACTGGCCGTTCAATTGTACACTCATAACTTTAAGTGAATGACTAATAAAGTGAATTTAGGCTTCTTGCTAAGAGCAGACATGCCCATGGGTGCTAGAAACATCTATGACTGCTTAGTCATTCTGGAGTCATTTTCATCCCTATAGGAACTAAAAAACTTGAAATAAATTTAACAATTAGTGAGTCCTCAACATCTTGCACACCACTTCAACACTCACCTTTCTTTGGAATCTTTAATGTAAGTATCAATGAGGAGACTATACATTTCAGAATGTATGTTTTCCATGGCAATTTGGAAGCCATAGAAACAGCGAGCTTCTGTAATCTGAACTTCTTGGCTAAATCGCTCCACCTAGTGGCAAAATATCAAAGTTAAGCTTGATGAAAAACACCACAACTGTCAATGGAAACGGGTATCACCCCAGTCCCTTCTTTGTACCAGTGTAAGGTTTGTTTCTATATATATTTAATACAATTTTTCACAATTCTGTGATAAAGTTGACATTTTATAGCATATGTTCAATTTACAGATCAGGAAATATATGATTCCTGTTTCACAAGGTTTCTGTGAGCACTTGATTATTGATGGATTCTTTCCTAATCCATAGCAGGAAGGATCCATTCACAATAAGGCATATGCAACCAAAATATTAAAACAGCAAAGCCACAAGAGACAGCAAATGTGGCCATAAGGAGTAAACCTATTACTAAACATTGTCTTTCAGCTTCTCCAGTCAGGGAAAATACCATAAGGAGAAATAAGTGCAAATTGTGTTGCAAAACAGGAATTGCCACACACACACACGCACATATATTCAGTGTGCAAAAATTAAAAAGACAAAAGTTACCTAGTTCTCTAGTTCTACGCTAAATCTTCAAGTGAATGAAAGTTGTTTTTTGGAAACTCACCAAGTTTTCATTGACTATGCCATCACTTGCTGCAAAAAAAGCCAGAACATGTGATATGAAATATTTCTCCGCAGGCTTCAGGGCTTCCCAGTGCTGAATGTCTTTGGAAAGATCCACCTGAGGTTAGAAGTTCACAATTTTAGCACAAAGGGAAGAGATTCAAGCGTGCAGGACTTCACGCTAAGGCACTTTCAAATTTTAAGTCTACCAGCATGACCCGATGAATATACCCTTCACATACCCAGTTCCCTTTGCCAATTAAAACATCTAACATCCTCAGTGGGCAACCGTCCCCAAAAGGAATCTAAGTACATCTCAGACAAGTTCTAATCGCCCCTGCAGGGGTCTTCCATAATCCGATTACCTCCTCGGCCGTCCAGAAGGAAGCCTCAGCTTTCTTATACATTTGCCAAATATCATGGTATTC